AGCAATTAGATGCTCAGCACTCGTCACGTTTTGTTTTTCAAGCAGTCGGGAACTACACAGCCGGTAACGCAAAACGTCACCCGATATAAAAAAAGAAAAAAAACAAAACAGTCAGGTGTCTTTATCTACCTACCCGTCATTCTCCCCCAACGAGGCAGCGGGGCTTGGAGTGATACACGAAAATTGAAAATTTGAAAGTGACCACCAATCCCAGGGGACCGCCATGTTATGCGCAAAAATGGCTACTCGTCACGTGACCATGCAAAAGCCGTAAGGTCACCGGTAAGATGGCAGCACCCAGAGCTGGTGGAAGCGAGTTTGTTCGGTGCGCAGTACCCGTGATGTGCCCCTGCTTGCCGACGATTTCGGACTTTGTGTTCTGTGACGCAGGTATAACACGTGAATATCTGAAGGAGTGAGACTTCATACGTTTGTCTGACAAGAACGCTTTGGATATGGACCCTTTAAAAAAAATTCGCTGAACGAGCGCGACAACATTGGGGGGCCTTACGCCATGGAGACGGGCTCCGTTGCGGCCGGTTCCGTTGTTTACACTGTTGCGTTCTTGCGCTTCCTCGTCTCCTCTGTATGGCTGCAGGTAGCGTTTTCCCTATCATATGTTGGCTAAACGACATTTCCCAACTCCCAGCCCTTAAAGATGACGAAGTACATCGCTTCTACAAGAGCCGATCGGAGTCAGAGCGCTGCTTCGACTGAAGCTACAACTTCCTCGTTGAGGGGCGGCTATCCATCTTTTGTAGTTCTCTGTGTTTTTGTTGTTGTTTTTTTTGTTGTTTTTTTGAACCTATGGAATGAAATTCGCGAATACAAAATTAAATGTTATTAAAATGAAAGTACAGCTCAAGCTGAGCTAGGAGATTTGAGCGGGATTACTCAACTTTCACGTTTTGATGACTTCCATGATTTTAAGAGTCAGAAATCCGCCCCCACTCCCCACGGCCCTCCCAAATGTTTACACTGCACATCGCCTCTTCGTGTTCAAATGCGTTGACCCACACGAGCCAACGTTAGTACACGGTCATCACGGGTTTCATGTACGGCAAAGATAGAGTACAATAAATAATACAAAAAAAACAAGTAGAACCTACAGTTGCTGTGCAGTGTGTTTCAAAATAAATTTCGACCCTAAACTCGTTTGCAAAAACCAGGAACCCGACGTATCAAGTAGAACCTTACCACGAATTTGTCTTTACTGGTAGAATTTGCGCATTAAATGTTTAAGTCTTCATTCCCAGTACAAAAAAAATTAGAAAAAATTAAATACAAAAATGCCTCAAAAAGGTGAGCTGTGTAATTTTTTCTTTACTAAGAGTAGATACTTGAATTTTATTGGGTAAATGGAACAAGTAAAATACGTGTTCGAGGCAAGCTTCAACTTGATACGCTCAGTCGCTGATTTTTAACGGGCCATTAATTGTGGCTTTTAGCTTTAATTTGTGACACTAAAAAATAGGCGGCTCAACGTATCAAGCTGAAACTTACTCGAGTACGTAATTTACTAGTCCCATTTGCACAACATTCCTTGAACACTTATTTTAGCAGTCCCATTGACATATTAAATTTCAACTCTCTACTTCAAGTACAATAAAAAAATGAAAAAACTGCTCATTTTAAAAGCATAGGATTTTTTTTTGTATTTGAAATTCCCGCGGTGCATTATGGGTAAATTTCCCCACTAAATGTAGAGGAAAATTTTACCCGCTAAATCTAGCAGAAAGAGTTTCCCCGCTAATTCTAGCGGGAAAATTTCTCCGCTAAATCTAGCGGAACAATTTCCCCACTATATTTAGCGGAAAAAATTCCCCCGCTAATTCTAGCGGACAAATTTCCCCGCTAAATCTAGCAGAAAATATTTCCCCGCTAAATCTAGCGGAAAAAATTTCCCCGCTAACCCTAGGGGGAAAAGTTCCCTGCTAAATTTGGCGGAAAAAATTTCCCCGCTAAGTTTAGCGAAAAAATTTCCCCGCTAAATCTACCGGAAAAAAATTTACCCGCTAAATTTAGGGGAAAAATTTCCCCGCTAAATTTGTTACGTCAGTTTATGCACCGACCCTACCTTAGACTCTCTATCTATCACAGCTACAATACCGAATGCCGGTAAAGAACAAAAAACAAACATAATTTTTTATTTCAATGAATTACTGGAGACAATTGACTGCTTGCCATGCTTTACCAAAGCGTCTATACAAATTGAGGTTTTTTTTTCCGTGAGAGCGCGTCAAACTGTCGTCCGAGGTGCGTCTCTGTCTCCAAGGAAAGGGAAATTGGACAACAAAGCCAGACCTATACTCTCGACCCTAACCTGAGACTGCGGTGGAAGCTACGCCCTCGCCAGACGAAACATCACCTGACCGAGCTCTCCGCGCGAGGATGTGGGCGAGAGCGTGTTCACGTGGGGAAAAATTGGCGTAAGATTCGTTCAACGCGCTCGTACACAGTAAAAAAAGTGTGTAGTAATTACACCCCTTGTTACATATACGACACCCTAAAACTTAAGTTGGACATAAAACGCACTGACGTCGATCTGACTGCGATATAACATATTAAACAGCTAAAGTACGTATCAAAGTCTGCAGAAAAAAAAATACTGAGGTTTTGCAGTAGAGCCAAGGAAACCCCGGTAACTTTTTTTGCAGTCAGTCACACTTACATTAGCTATTTTAATAAGTCGTACAACTCGGCTATCAAGCTGCTCGTGAAATTCGTTAGCGTCGGTTTAACGTCAATGCGCTGTACGTTCAACTGAAGTTTTAGGGTGTCGCATATGTGACAAGGGGTGGTTGAATATACCTCTTTTTAGTGTGTAGCTTCCAATGCAGTCTCAGCTTAGGGCTGAACGAAGTCTGTGCGGGACGTGAACAGGTATCGTGCAGGAAGATAAGCCCCTCCTAAAGTTCTCTATGTATATGACACATGATTTTCTTTGCTCCCCTCGCCTTTTTTACAGCATTCGCTTTGCTAAAGCGGAAAGGGCAGAGGACTTTGTCGGGGGAGCTCATCCTGTTATTCTGCCAAATAACCGTTCATCTCTAACGAGAGACCTAAGCCTGGCAGAGCATCGCGATAGCGATACATCGCAAATGTATTTCATGACTTAAATACAAACACATTTTTCAAACGTATGTCGATACAGAGATGCAGGCTGTAGAAAGTATCTCAGAGACACTATCGCAATACGCTTGTATCACTGTACTGCCCAGGCCTGGGTGAGACAATCTCTGCAACTATTTCGTGCAAATACATGGGTTATGTCATTAAAATTTGCGTAACTTAAAGGTGCGATGCAACAATTTTTCTACTTTCGATAAGACAGCTTAGAAACATTCCTTCACATTTATGACCTATGAAACACACGTTGCTTTCTTTCTTTACGCAATGGCAGTCACGGAAAAAGTCGGAAAAAAACGAATGGGCAGCTAGAAAAAGTGGCCACGTGATCTGGAGCCGATTATATGCCACCAATGCTTTTAACAGAGTCACGCCCTGGGGTTGAAAGAGCGCAGGTCGCGCGCTGATTGCCAATTCTTGTTAAGGTTGGGATATATTCCCGTCATCTCAGCGATTGTGAACGAGCCAGTACCCGAATGCATGTCGAGGCATTAACTGTCACCAGCCAAAATCGAATGCCTACCCAGTCTTCGTGCCCACTGTGAGAGCAGAATTTAAATATCGTCACAGCCGCAAACGCAAAGCTTGATGACGCACTCCTGGGGATCGCACTCTTGGCATTGTTCCTATAGCTCAGTCATCAAGTTTGTCGAAGGAGAGACTAAAAGAAAAGATCCGCATTTATCCTTGGATTCCATGCGATGAAGACGCTCCTTGGTCAGTGGCATTGCGTTCGAGTATTCTTGGGTCCCATTAGTGCCAGTAAGTAGGTGTAAATTGAGAAACGTTCCAACCCAATATTGGTTCACAGCCCCCTGTAATGTCCAGTTGTGCTTGCCTTCAATGGTACTTCGTCATTTCCTCCAGAAGAGTTGGTGAGGGCTCCGCATACGCTGTCCAAATACTAAAAGGAAAGGTGAAAAACAAGGGGAAAATGAGTCGCTTATAAATTGATTGAAACGGTTTTTATAAATAAATGAGTTCACCCTTTTAATAGAGGCGGCGATAGACCGATGTCACCGAGAGAACTGCACAGACGCGCTTATTCCGGGAGTTGTGTCCCCATTATGTTACTGGCAGTCATCGCTTTCCGGCTTCCCGGCTGCATAGGGCTGTGGTACGCATACATCTTTGTATATCATCATTTGGGACGCCCCGGTATCAGCTTGGATTACTCAGCATATCTCTACTTTTTTTTTTCTTTATTTTGTTTCGCGGAAAGATCCGCGTGGAGGGCAGAGATAAAGGCTTGGTGCCTGACAGGGCCTCTACCCCCCCCCCCCCCCCCGTACAGTTCAGCAGTGCGTACAAAAACACAGTGGAAAATACATCACAAAACAAAATACGCCCATTACCACACCGACCTGCTAGTAAAAAATTGACCGAAACATTTTCGCAGCATTCTAAAAATATATAATCAAAATTAGAGTTTCATATACCATGAAAAAAAAATGACCGCATCTCCACGTGGTGAATGATGTTGATTGGGGCGAAGCTCTGGTGGTGCTGATGATATTGATTTTGTTCATAGCTAGTGCTGACGGTACTGACTTTTTTATCCTCTCCGGGGCAGCTTGCTGTCTGCGTAAAGGCTGAGCCGCAGCATGCCGAGCTTTTCATTCATTTTCATTCATGTCAAAAAGACAATGTGTGGTCTGGAACGTGATCATATACGCATTTGAGCATTTGACCGCAGCGCCCTCTCGTCTAAAAACGTTGAGCCAATGCATGCAAAGTTTAACGCGATTATATACGCATTTGACCGCAGCGCCCTCTCCTGTATAGACGTTGAGCGGCTACATGCAACGTTTCATCCATGACATCCCCAGCTCTTGAGTTACTATTACATCTCAGAGCCCCCTACTCGTCCCGCAGTCATGGCCGGGTGGTTAAGGCGATGGACTTGAAATCTTTTGGGGTCTCCCCGCACATGTTCGAATCCTGTTGACTGCGCAAACATTTTTTATTTTTTTAAGAAGACAGATGGGATGGAAATCGATGTGCGCACGGACGCCGGACAAGGCTAGACCCAAAGGAGCTTGGCCCCAAAAAGACACTGATCATCAAAAACGACCAGGAACAAAGATGTGATCCCGTTGTGGACTGCAAAAAAACAAGTATACAATACATCACATTAATATCAGCCAAAACACAGTGGTATTAATTAAAGAACATTAGAAGATTTTTCTCTCAAACTTACACATAAAGGTGCGCTGGCCTCCTTTATGGCACTTGTCTTTGTCAGTGGCGCCCTCTTCCCGACTCCTTCCGCCACGAGGTGGTATCTGTGGCGAACGATGACTTGTCGATGTTGTGGTGATGCTGGGCGCAGATGGTTCACGTGCGGTTAGGGGACTGCGAGAGCAGAGGCGATTAGATGTGTGTGCGATGCGCACTGCTGCCGCACTGAAGGCCGGTCCGGTGCGCTGGCCTCTTTTATGGCACTTGTCTTTGTTAGTGGCGCCCTCTTCCTGACTTCTTCCGCCACGAGGTGGTATCTGTGGCGATCGATGACTTGTCGATGTTGTGGTGATGCTGGGCGCAGATGGTTAACATGCGGTTAGGGGACTGCCAGAGCAGAGGCGATTAGATATGTGTGCGATGTGCACTGCTGCCGCACTGAAGGCCGGTCCGGTGCGCTGGCCTCCTTTATGGCACTTGTCTTTGTTAGTGGCGCCCTCTTCCTGACTTCTTCCGCCATGAGGTGGTATCTGTGGCGAACGATGACTTGTCGAGGTTGTAGTGATGCTGGGCGCAGATGGTTAACATGCGGTCGGGGAAATGCGAGAGCAGCGGCGATTAGATACGTGTCCGACACGCACTGCTGCCGAACTGAAGGCTGGTCCGGTGCACTGGCCTCCTATATGGCGCTTGTCTTTGTTAGTGGCGCCCTCTTCCTGACTTCTTCCGCCACGAGGTGGTATCTGTGGCGAACGATGACTTGTCGAGGTTGTAGTGATGCTGGGCGCAGATGGTTAACATGCGGTCAGGGAACTGCGAGAGCAGCGGCGATTAGATACGTGTCCGACACGCACTGCTGCCAAACTGAAGGCTGGTCCGGTGCGCTGGCCTCCTTTACGGCACTTGTCTTTGTTAGTGGCGCCATCTTCCCGACTCCTTCCGCCACGAGGTAGTATCTGTGGCGAACGATGACTTGTCGATGTTGTGGTGATGCTGGGCGCAGATGGTTCACGTGCGGTTAGGGAACGGCGAGAGCAGAGGCGATTAGATACGTGTCCGACACGCACTGCTGCCGAACTGAAGGCTGGTCCGGTGCGCTGGCCTCCTTTATGGCACTTGTCTTTGTTAGTGGCGCCCTCTTCCTGACTTCTTCCGCCACGAGGTGGTATCTGTGGCGAACGATGACTTCTCGAGGTTGTGGTGATGCTGGGCGCAGATGGTTAACATGCGGTTAGGGGACTGCCAGAGCAGAGGCGATTAGATATGTGTGCGATGTGCACTGCTGCCGCACTGAAGGCCGGTCCGGTGCGCTGGCCTCCTTTATGGCACTTGTCTTTGTTAGTGGCGCCCTCTTCCTGACTTCTTCCGCCATGAGGTGGTATCTGTGGCGAACGATGACTTGTCGAGGTTGTAGTGATGCTGGGCGCAGATGGTTAACATGCGGTCGGGGAAATGCGAGAGCAGCGGCGATTAGATACGTGTCCGACACGCACTGCTGCCGAACTGAAGGCTGGTCCGGTGCACTGGCCTCCTATATGGCGCTTGTCTTTGTTAGTGGCGCCCTCTTCCTGACTTCTTCCGCCACGAGGTGGTATCTGTGGCGAACGATGACTTGTCGAGGTTGTAGTGATGCTGGGCGCAGATGGTTAACATGCGGTCAGGGAACTGCGAGAGCAGCGGCGATTAGATACGTGTCCGACACGCACTGCTGCCAAACTGAAGGCTGGTCCGGTGCGCTGGCCTCCTTTACGGCACTTGTCTTTGTTAGTGGCGCCATCTTCCCGACTCCTTCCGCCACGAGGTAGTATCTGTGGCGAACGATGACTTGTCGATGTTGTGGTGATGCTGGGCGCAGATGGTTCACGTGCGGTTAGGGAACGGCGAGAGCAGAGGCGATTAGATACGTGTCCGACACGCACTGCTGCCGAACTGAAGGCTGGTCCGGTGCGCTGGCCTCCTTTATGGCACTTGTCTTTGTTAGTGGCGCCCTCTTCCTGACTTCTTCCGCCACGAGGTGGTATCTGTGGCGAACGATGACTTCTCGAGGTTGTAGTGATGCTGGGCGCAGGTGGTTAACATGCGGTAAGGGAACTGCGAGAGCAGCGGCGATTGGATACGTGTGCGATGCGCACTGCTGCCGAACTGAAAGCCGGTCCGGTGCCCTCTCCTCCTTTATGGCACTTGTCTTTGTCAGTGGCGCCCTCTTCCCGACTCCTTCCGCCACGAGGTGGTATCTGTGGCGAACGATGACTTGTCGAGGTTGTGGTGGTGCTGGGCGCAGATGGATCACGTGTGGTCAGGGGACTGCGAGAGCACAGGCGATTAGATATGTGTGCGATGCGCACTGCTGCCGCACTGAAGGCCAGTCCGGTGCGCTGGCCTCCTTTATGGCACTTGTCTTTGTCAGTGGCGCCCTCTTCCTGACTTCTTCCGCCATGAGGTGGTATCTGTGGCGAACGATGACTTGTCGATGTTGTGGTGATGCTGGGCGCAGATGGTTCACGTGCGGTTAGGGAACGGCGAGAGCAGAGGCGATTAGATACGTGTCCGACACGCACTGCTGCCGAACTGAAGGCTGGTCCGGTGCGCTGGCCTCCTTTATGGCACTTGTCTTTGTTAGTGGCGCCCTCTTCCTGACTTCTTCCGCCACGAGGTGGTATCTGTGGCGAACGATGACTTCTCGAGGTTGTAGTGATGCTGGGCGCAGATGGTTAACATGCGGTCAGGGAACTGCGAGAGCAGCGGCGATTAGATACGTGTCCGACACGCACTGCTGCCGAACTGAAGGCTGGTCCGGTGCGCTGGCCTTCTTTATGGCACTTGTCTTTGTTAGTGGCGCCCTCTTCCTGACTTCTTCCGCCACGAGGTGGTATCTGTGGCGAACGATGACTTTTCGAGGTTGTAGTGATGCTGGGCGCAGATGGTTAACATGCGGTCAGGGAACTGCGAGAGCAGCGGCGATTAGATACGTGTCCGACACGCACTGCTGCCGAACTGAAGGCTGGTCCGGTGCGCTGGCCTCCTTTACGGCACTTGTCTTTGTTAGTGGCGCCATCTTCCCGACTCCTTCCGCCACGAGGTAGTATCTGTGGCGAACGATGACTTGTCGATGTTGTGGTGATGCTGGGCGCAGATGGTTCACGTGCGGTTAGGGAACGGCGAGAGCAGAGGCGATTAGATACGTGTCCGACACGCACTGCTGCCGAACTGAAGGCTGGTCCGGTGCACTGGCCTCCTTTATGGCACTTGTCTTTGTCAGTGGCGCCCTCTTCCTGACTTCTTCCGCCACGAGGTGGTATCTGTGGCGAACGATGACTTGTCGAGGTTGTAGTGATGCTGGGCGCAGATGGTTAACATGCGGTCAGGGAACTGCGAGAGCAGCGGCGATTAGATACGTGTCCGACACGCACTGCTGCCGAACTGAAGGCTGGTCCGGTGCGCTGGCCTCCTTTACGGCACTTGTCTTTGTTAGTGGCGCCATCTTCCCGACTCCTTCCGCCACGAGGTAGTATCTGTGGCGAACGATGACTTGTCGATGTTGTGGTGATGCTGGGCGCAGATGGTTCACGTGCGGTTAGGGAACGGCGAGAGCAGAGGCGATTAGATACGTGTCCGACACGCACTGCTGCCGAACTGAAGGCTGGTCCGGTGCACTGGCCTCCTTTATGGCACTTGTCTTTGTCAGTGGCGCCCTCTTCCTGACTTCTTCCGCCACGAGGTGGTATCTGTGGCGAACGATGACTTCTCGAGGTTGTAGTGATGCTGGGCGCAGGTGGTTAACATGCGGTAAGGGAACTGCGAGAGCAGCGGCGATTGGATACGTGTGCGATGCGCACTGCTGCCGAACTGAAAGCCGGTCCGGTGCCCTCTCCTCCTTTATGGCACTTGTCTTTGTCAGTGGCGCCCTCTTCCCGACTCCTTCCGCCACGAGGTGGTATCTGTGGCGAACGATGACTTGTCGAGGTTGTGGTGGTGCTGGGCGCAGATGGATCACGTGTGGTCAGGGGACTGCGAGAGCACAGGCGATTAGATACGTGTCCGACACGCACTGCTGCCGCACTGAAGGCCAGTCCGGTGCGCTGGCCTCCTTTATGGCACTTGTCTTTGTCAGTGGCGCCCTCTTCCTGACTTCTTCCGCCATGAGGTGGTATCTGTGGCGAACGATGACTTGTCGATGTTGAGGTGATGCTGGGCGCAGATGGTTCACGTGCGGTTAGGGAACGGCGAGAGCAGAGGCGATTAGATACGTGTCCGACACGCACTGCTGCCGAACTGAAGGCTGGTCCGGTGCGCTGGCCTCCTTTATGGCACTTGTCTTTGTTAGTGGCGCCCTCTTCCTGACTTCTTCCGCCACGAGGTGGTATCTGTGGCGAACGATGACTTGTCGAGGTTGTAGTGATGCTGGGCGCAGATGGTTAACATGCGGTCAGGGAACTGCGAGAGCAGCGGCGATTAGATACGTGTCCGACACGCACTGCTGCCGAACTGAAGGCTGGTCCGGTGCGCTGGCCTCCTTTACGGCACTTGTCTTTGTTAGTGGCGCCATCTTCCCGACTCCTTCCGCCACGAGGTAGTATCTGTGGCGAACGATGACTTGTCGATGTTGTGGTGATGCTGGGCGCAGATGGTTCACGTGCGGTTAGGGAACGGCGAGAGCAGAGGCGATTAGATACGTGTCCGACACGCACTGCTGCCGAACTGAAGGCTGGTCCGGTGCGCTGGCCTCCTTTATGGCACTTGTCTTTGTCAGTGGCGCCCTCTTCCTGACTTCT